TAAATTCTTATTGGATGTACTCAGTGTCATATTTTGGCTCTCTTAGACTTGTTGTAATTTCCTTAGTGTCAGCCTGAACTTGCATATGAGCAATTGATGGTCTGTTCCACAGTCGGCCCCTGGCCTTGTTTTGGCTGATGATACTGAGTTTTTCTATGATCTCGTCTCACATGTGTAGTTGATTTGATTCCTGTCTATTCCATCTGGTGAAGTCAGCATGTAAAGCTGAAGTTTATGTTGTTGACAAAAAGTATTTTCAATGAGTGAATAAGTCATTGTTCTTGCAAAATTCTATCATGCGATCTCTAGCATAGTTTCTGTTTCCAATGCCATATTTTCCAATGACTAATCCTTCCTCTTTGTTTTCAACTTTTGCATTCCAGTCACCAGTAATTATTAATGGATCTTGACTGCATGTTTGATCAATTTCAGACTCAGGAAGTTGGTAGAATTCTTCAATTTCATCATCACTGGTTTTGATGGCTGATGCATAAATTTAAATAATATTTATGTTAACCGGTCTTCTGTGTATAGATATTATCCTATCACAGACAGCACTGTACTTCAAAATAGATCTTGAAATGTGCCCCCCCCACACACACACCCTTTTTTTAGCCTGTCTTATTCCTTTACTTTGTGCTTTGGGATGGGCAGTAATGCTATGCTGGTAGTGAGGACCTCCTACCTAACCACAAACTTAAGCAGGAGTGCATCCTCTGTAGTGGGCAGAGTGGTACACACCCCATGTCACTTTCGCCAGCCTGGCTAGAGCTGCCCAGGGATAGGGCTCCCAGACTTGACCTTTAAAATGCTCTTTTTGATGAATGCAACTCCATTCCTCTCCAATTGGTTGTTCCCGGTATAGTAAACTATGACTGTCCAAATCAAAATGGCTAATACCATTCCATTTCAGCTCACTAATGACTAGGATATCAATATTTACACATTCCATTTCATTTTTGGTGACTTCAAATTTTCTTAGATTCATCCTTTGTTTTTTAAAATGTTTTATTTTGAATTATGTGATAGTTTACATGGGAGAACATTAGTTTTACATTCATCCTATCGTATATCATTTCATTGTCATGGTTACAATCCCCTCCATGCACCATCAACCAACCAAAGGGTATATCCTACAA